GATATGCTGACTCTGTAAACCGCTTGGAGAGGGCTGAAAGCCCTAGGAAACGGTATATAAGTCTAAGTCTAATTGCTACTCCCCAAGGATTCTGCTAATCAAGTCTTTCTCTAGATAAGATTTGTCTCTCTTTTTAAAAAAAAAAAAAGGCGTCGTGGTGTCGTCCTTCAGCTTGAAACCTAGGAATATCGTTCAAGTGGTTTGTGAAACAAGGTAGAAGTTAAATCTGTTCTGAGTAGGGACTAGTGAACGAACAGGGTCTTTCGTCCTGGCAGAAAGCTACTCCAGTTTGTGTGAGTTTTGTCATTGATATCCGGGTGCCTGGAGGACTGTCTGGAGGGAGGGAAGGCCTCGATCCCCGAGACTGGTGCCGGTGTGCTGACCACGCTTCTGGACATCCAGTGAGGAAGGGATCCATCCTTAAAACGCGGCTCCTTCTCCACAGCGGAAGATACCGCGAGGGCTTCTCTCTTGCAAGCCTCAGTTGTGGCTCCGGAGGCTTCCATATCTCATCAGGGAAAGTGTTAGTAAGGGGGAAAAAGGTGTTAGCATACTTACAGAATCCACAACCCTCCTGAATTAGTGGACAGTCTCCAGAGGAGGAAGAAGCTTATTCTAGTCTCCTCCGTCAGTTTGAAGAAAAGATGATGCTGCAACTCTCGGCCGTCTGGGGGGGGGCTTTGGCCTCAGAGCGGGTCATCTCAACGGGAGGGGTGGGATTTCAAAGTCCCGCTTGAAAGATTTCGGAGTGGGGGCATGCCTTGATTTAGAAAAACGGAAATTTCCCTCCGCAGACCCTGAAGCTGGATCCCTCCTGCTTGATTGGGGGTTACGATGAGGTTTGATTTGCTACGGATTTTTGGGGGGATCCTGTGGAAGGTTTTATTTGAAACGTGTGTTTACCAGATTCCTCGAGTTGTCCTGTAAGCCACTTGTGCTTAATGTGGTGGTGTTGGGGGAGCAGGAGGAAATAACTTCAAATAAACACCCAAAGCAATTTGAAAACAAATCATATTCATTGCTAACTAGAAATAAATCCTCTCAAGGACTGAAGTGAAATTCAAGCTTTCTCCAGGAAATGCGGCTCCGGGGAGCCTTCAGACCAATAAAAGCTTTTGCATTTATATTGCATCTCTGGTTGTTTATATCAGTGTTTCTCAACCTTGGCAACTTGAAGATGTCCGGACTTCAACTCCCAGAATTCCCCAGCCAGCATTCGCTGGCTGGGGAATTCTG